ATTATTTCATTAGCTAGCATGAGAGACTTAGTAGTAGCAATTTCAACTAACTGCCAGAGCGCGGGAAGCAGTCTGGATGAAAAAAAAACAAAAACAAAACATGAACACTGTATGTGCTCGGTTTTTACCTTAGAATGGCCAACTCTCTGTTATTCCTATGTCAATTTGACACAGTAGAGAAAAAGTTTGGGAACCACTGACTTAGCAGATGAATTTATATGGTAGAAATTAAACGATTAAAGCATTTTGTGATGATAATTCTTTGATTTATCTCCAATGTCACTAACTAAGAACTAAGAAGAGAATGAAGAAATGACGTAAGCAGACAATCATTTGCTTTAATTACATGTTTTATGTTGGCTTTTGTGACACATTTGCAGTCTGTTAAGCTGCAACACTACCTGCGAGTGTGTGTTTTCACACACACTCGCACACTGCATATATCGTTTCCTGGGCTCTGTGCCATGCTCCTCATGTTTGTCTAGCCTAATCGTCCAGTTGCCGCCTCCTCCCTGCATTAACTTTGTTAGAACAGGGACACCTCGTTAATGACAGTGCTAATTGAATGAAATGGACATACTAACGAGCATAAAACCTCCCACTCACATTTTGCTAATTAACAGCACACTGGCTTAATTACAACAGTAGAAACACATGCCGTGCTGCCTCGTTACTGTTAATTGCAGTGGCTAACAGGGATTTATGGTAATTGGCTGTAGAAGCGTTGTTAACGAGAGGCTGAATTAGCCAGATGCACGGAGACAAATGGAGAGCAGAGATGTGCCAGAGCACACAATGCTGAGCTGACTCTTCTAGTAATATTGCTTCATGTCTGTTGATTTGATTAAACAATATAAAATCACCGTTTCCTCTCCAAAGGCCAGGTTGAGATTGCGACAGCCTCCTCCTGCTGACACAGTGCCACACTTAAGCTCAGCTTAAAACTACCAAAACACAGGGTGTGCTCTGATGGCACAGAGGTTAAGCACAGCCCACATATGGAGGCCTTGGTCCTCAATGCAGCTGTCACAGGTTCAATTCCCAGCCTTGGTGACCCTCACTGCATGTCTTCCCCCTCTCTCATTATCCACCTTCCTGTCAATTAACTATCAAATAAAAAAGGCCACTAGAGCCAAAGGAAAAATGATCAGTTTCTCTGATACCAAAACACAACTTTCACCATTAGAACATGCAATCAGACTACTGTTTCTCTTTGTTTCCTCTGCAGCAGTATTCTCATTACTGGTTCTATTTACTAATTTAAGCTTAAAACAACATAACAAACCCACCCAGCTCTAGAAACACTTAGAACAGAATTCCCAGGTGAAAAAAAGTATACTTTAGTTTATTTCAAGCATACTTACATTTGTGAAAGTACATTTTAAGTATACTAAGTATTAAGTGTACTACCTATAAATATATCTGAAGTATACTAAAAGTATACTTGTACCAATTTCGAAATTAGAACTTTAAACACACTTAAACATAATTGTACCAAAATACACTTTTAATATATTAAATAAAAGTATACTTTAAGTGAACAAAATATATATTTGCCCAAGTCTAAATATACACTTTCTCAAGTATATTTAAAATATATTTTGTGTATATTTTAAAATATATGTTCAAAATANGGAATCGGAATCGTCAGGAAAAAAACCTGATCGGCACGTCTCTAGTAAAAAGATTAGATTTTTTTTTAAAAGAAGTCGCTAGAAGGTTCTGAAAAGTCGCTAAATACAGCAACAAAGTTCTAAGTTAGCAACAGTGCTATTCCTTGTGCTGACCATGGCCCTGCTTGACCACCTCCACTGATACTCACACTTGACCACGCCCTTCTTTATCTCTTAGCTCCGTCCACTTTGGTGGAATTTTTTGGTTAGTTACATTTTAAATGTTTCAGATCATCAAACAGACAAGAGAAGAAAACACGAAATTGTTATCCTCATAGCATAATAGCCTAAGTCATATTTTGGCAGGAGTGTCCAAACTCGAGGATTTGGCATGCTCTTCCCTCTGTCTAAGATTAAAATTAGTGCGGCAAAGTGCAAAAACAGGATAAATCTATGATGCCATATTAGAGCTATTGTAGATTCAAAAAAGGAGGAGTACATTTCTGACAAAAAAAAAATCAAAACTTTTCATATTAACCTCAAAATTATGGAGCATTTTTTTCTCATTTTCCATTTTCAAGCACAGAAATGTTTTCTTTTCTTTTTTTTGGAACATTTCTGAGATCTCAAATCTCAAAATGTCTTGAGTTTTTTTTGGTGGAAAGTCACTCCTCTTTTTTCCATCTATAAAGTCTGTGATACGTTGTCAGATAAATCTGTAAGGGTAAGAGTAAAAACCTTTTAACAGCACTCCAGTTAAAACCAAACCTGGTTTTTGTCCTGTATGACAGAAGTATTTCAGCTGTCATTGTCTTAACAAGCAATTTATTGATGTTGTTTCTGGTGATAAAGAACATGTGGAACCTGGAACTGGTGACATTTGAGTCTTTTAGAAGTACAGTACTGACAAGACGTAACATCACTTTTGCAGTTGTACATCTTTCTAAGAAACCTCTTCTGCTGGTTTCCTGACAAAAAAAAAAAAAGAGAAGCTGTTATGCAAACTACAGCTCTTTGAAATATGAAGACATAAGAAGACAAAAACCCAAGCTGAAAATTGCTCAGCTCAAATTTTAGGCTCTAATGGCAGATGCCTGAAAGACCCTGCAATAGAGCTGATTTGCACAAGGTACTCATGGGGACTTTTATTCAGATGGCAGCCGTAGAAGATAATACATATTTTTATTACAGCATTCACTCGGCCTTTATTACACCAAATGCAAAATGACATAATTGGATTCAAATAAAGGGTGGATTGTCGGAAGTAATTAGGAGGGTATATTTGGTCGTAATGAATGAACATGCAGACAGCTGCAGTCTTTTTGCTCATAATCTCTTCATTGCAGTCTTTCTGTTCTGCAGACAGATTTAAATTAGCTCCAATAAATAAGTCAGTATATATTCATTAAGATAATTCACACAGTCTGGCATCTCCTCTGTGTTACATCTGAAAGTGCGAAAAAAGAATTTTTTTTTTCTTCACTTTTTTTTTAAAGATTATTTTTTCTTCTTATTCACCCCCGATTAGAACGGATTGAACTGTTTCACCAAATATTAACAGGAAACACTGTGAATCGACTCTTAAAGGCTGAAATGTGAACATGTAGAATTCTAATGATATTTTGGGGGCATAACACAAGTTTTAACGTGTTTAAAATTCTGTCCTCCACGCGATCCAAGGCTATTTCCAAAACACAAAATTAAGGTGGAAAAACGATGAAAATCAATGCTAAAAAACATCAGAAATATATTTGTTCTGATTGGTATTCTTCTACATTTGCTACCAGTTCAAAATCAAGAACATTTATTTCTAATGTCAGCTGTCTAGTCAAAGTTCATCCACAGGTTTGAACCTTAAGGACAAGAAGCTACCTGACTGGGCCGACTCTGGCCAGCCAGACTGAAGCTCCATCTCAGAACTGCAGTTTCCAAACTTCAGAGCTTCTGCCTCACAGAGCAGCCCTCCCCAACGACTCCCCCACTCAGCTCCTCCAGACTAGCCAGAAGCAATTAGCAAACCCTTGGTGGAACTGCATATCTGCTGAGCTCATTATAGCAGCTACTTCCCACTGCAACGCTGGTAAAATGTTGCTGAATAGAGGAGAAATGTGATGACTTCTGAAGAAGGAGTTTCAGAAAGAGCAGGAGTTTTTTAAAGTGACAGGTCTAATTTCAAGGTGTTAAATGACAAAGTCAAAATTCTATTCCAAGTCATATTTGATATATATATAGTCTTTTTCAAAACAACTTAAGTTAGCATAATTACTTGATTGTGATATGAAATGGCTCTATATGCCTGGAAAATACATAATACTGACCCTAAAAAACAGCAATCCTCAACAAATCTTAGTATAAACTAGAAATGTACACGTACAAGAGAGTTCTTTGACTTGTTTTTTACACAAATTTAGAAATAAGTATGATCGCTGTTTCCCTAATCAAAGCTAGAAAAACGATTTGATTGAAATCAAAAGAAGGATAGGACACGTCAGCTCACTGATGCGGCCCGCTAGTTTAATAAGCAATCATCTGTTTTCCTGGAATCATGGCATCAGTCACTCTCGAACTTTTTACAATTAAACAACCCCGCATTCAAATCTATAGCCCAGCATATGAATCAAAACAAAAAAAAAAATTTCATCAATAATAATAGTCCATCGAAAAGTCCATAATTGGGCGATCAAAAATAAAGTTCCGTCCTCGCAAAAAAACAACGTTGGGGCCCAAAAAATGTATCAGTCTTTGTGCACACAAAAAAACAATTAAAAAAACAAACATGGAAGGGTCTGACCGGGACGGCGTCTGTGGACCCGGGCGGTTCCCTTTGTCAGGCCTGGAACGTGAGCGCATCGGGTCTGGTCCTCGCCCCGTGTGGCTTTATCTTGCCTCCAGAAGACTTTTGATTCCTTCAGTTGTTGATCTGGCAACGCATTTACTCCAACAATCAGGCATCTCCGGGCTAATCTGTCGAGCTTTTCCAGCGTGCTGCCACACCCACTTCTCTCCCTTGTTCCTTTTATCAGTTCCGCTAAAAGTTGTGACCCAGAAATTTTTTTACTTCGTTGACTTTCACCAATAAAATACATACATACAAGACATCCTTGCATACATATCAATACAACAAAAATTATGTGTATTTCATTAACCCATGCTTTATTCTAGGAGGTTAATTTATTTATTTATTTATTTTATTTTTATTTTTATTTTTTTGCTTAAGATACTTTATTTCATTGTGATGTCACAGATCCATTGAATCATTTCAACATTTTGTGATGTTTTTTTTTTATTATTTTATTTTTGTAAAATAACTTGACACAATTAGCCAAAATAATTCACACTGAGGAATATCTCCTTATCTAGAGTCCCTGCTTGAATCTTTAGGAACCATCAAGGTGTTGCATTCAGGTTCAATGTTTTGACTTTTTTACATCATTCATATATTTTAAATGTAATCGATCTAGAACTGGATTTTCTTCAACTTTTTGTATTAGATCGAATAAACTAAAAAGTTGTTAATTATATTCACTGTAAATGAACCTCAAAGAATATTTTATCATTGACATCTATTGATTTCTATTGATATCTACATCTTTCAATGTTTTAAATAAAATGTCTTTTTACTTTATGTTTAATCGGAGATTATATTCATGGATTATTTCACTTAGTTCTTTTTATTCCCTGTGAATTGTTCTTGTTATACTTGTACATTTTCTGCTCTGGCAGCTGAAGGAGGAGCAGCTCATCCTGCTCTCTCTCATCCTTACTGATAACTTTGCCTGTGAATTATTTTTAAAGTCACAATTTTTATAATTATATTTACATTATCGACATCATAACTGGATTACTCCAAACCTAAGGACTGGGAGATTTTCTCACTTTTATGTTTCATTTTTACCTTACTTCTCTTCACCTCCAACTTGAACTAGGGCAAAATGCCCCCGTCCGACCCCGAGGACATTAGCAGTATTCCACAAAGACTTCAGTTTTTAGAAATGAAGAAATGAAGGCTGGAGGTGAACTTTGACATCAACGCTACCCGTGGAAATGAAATAACTCTTCCTCAAATCAGCGGAGAGGTCGTACACCCCGCACCAAGCAGCTCACCCTGGAACACTCAGGGTGCCAAGCTGAAACAAAAGTCTCACACTGCAGATCCCACGAGACGACTAACAGGGAGAACCCTTCACCTGGACGAATCAGCGTGACCGGCTCTGAGCCGAAACTCACCTTCAACGTCAACACCTGCTCCGCCAAAGAATAGCAAACAAGCAGCTGAAACCAAAACGGCTCCACCGACCCCAAGGACAAAGCGACCAGTCCAAGCCTCAAAACATTCTAACTCCATGGGAGTCCCACTGAAAAACAGATTTTCTGCACTCCAGCCTGAGCCTCTGAGTGAAACCTCACCTTCAAACATCAACAATGAGGCAAAACCATCACATCCACCCCCCAAAGCTCTGAAGGACAAAGTGACCACCAGGAAAACGAAAGGTATGCAAAGAGTGCTTATTGTTGGAGATGAGACAGTAAATGGAGTCAGTCATGTTTGCAACCCCAAGAAAACGAGAGTGGTTTCTTTTCTTGGTGACACTGTATCTGATTTACTCTCTCTAACTACTGATCAGCCAAATATTGAGACTTTAGTTGTGCATGTTGGAGCCAACGATCTGGCAAAGCAAAAATCTGAGATTCTGAAAGAGGACTTTAATATTCTTCTGAACACTATGGGAAAATTAAAAACGAAGTTATTTCTCAGTGGTCCAATTCCATCACCTCAACGGGGAGACGAAAAACACTCCAGGCTGGGCATGATAAACAAATGGCTGATTAAAACCTGCTCTGCCAGCTCAGTGACCTTCATCGATAACCTCTGGATCTACTGGCAGCGCTTTCACCTCTTTGGAAGAGGCGGATGCAATCTTAACAAACATGGAATAAAGCTACTCGCTGCAAACATTTTTCATTTTATCAACAAGAACAACAATGTGACCATCACTTTAGAAGAACAGGCTCAGGGATGTCTGACTAGGATGGAACCCTTCGCTTATCAGAAGCAAAGTGTCCCAAAACAAAGTGCTGGGGACAGAATGACTGGTTCCCCTCCTCCTTCCCCCTCCCTCTCTGCTCCTACACGATACCTTTGAAGAAATGTCTTCCGGACCAGAGTTTCTCAAATTCACGGATGGAATGGATCAACAGGTTCGCCTCGACAGACCTCACTTCATCTAAGCCACCTGCCTCTGACCTCCCAGAGGATCCAGCGCTCTGCATTTCTGAGGTCAGAGACCGGGGTCCAGATATTATCTTTACACCCGTCTTCCTCCAGAATGTGTCTGACCCCCCGGCACCGCAAAACAGGACATTACCTGTCCAGATCACTACAAGAAAAGTTACCAAAAACAGAAATACGAAAAGCAGCGGTCTAAATTCAAACCTCAGACTGATGAACTTTCAGCCTCCAAGTCACTTAAACTGGCTCTTTTAAACACCAGATCTCTCTGTGCTAAAGCTGTATTAATTAATGATTTCATCACCGAGCATAATATTGAGGTTATCTTTCTGACAGAAACATGGCTGAATGACAATAATGAACCAATCGTACTAATTGAATCAGCGCCTCCTACGTACAGTTTTTTAAGTGAGAATAGAAAACACAAATAAAGGAGGAGGCGTGGCTTCAATATTTAAGAATATCATAAACTGTAGTAAAATCTCTTTGGGTAATTTCACATCTTTTGAGTATCTTGGAATTGAGGTAAAAGGCCACAAACAAACTTTGACGCTAACTTTATACAAAACCCCAACATATGTGGAAAATTTCTTTACGGACTTGAATGAGCTTCTATTTCTCATATGCATTGATTATGATTGTTTAATAATTGTTGGTGATTTCAACATTCATGTTGACAACCTAAAAACAGAGGGGCAAAAAAGCTGCTTAATATATTAGAGAGTTTTGGTTCAACAACATATCAAACAAGCAACGCACACTCAAGGATACACACTGGACCTGGTTATCAGTAAGTAAGGGTGTGAATATTTCCAATGTCTCTGTAACTGATGTTGCCTGTTGGATCACTTTGCTGTTATCTTTGAATGTTCTTTATCCGTTAACCCACTTGGACAAACAGCTACTATCACAAAACGTACTTTCACAGAAAACACAGCAGAAACATTTAATCATATCTACTATTCTTCCTTGCCCTTGAGCTATTATGACGTAGATAAGTTGGTAGATGATTTTCAGATATCACTGATTATATTGCCCCCATTAAAGTGAAGGTTGTGTCTGGTAGGAAGAAATCTCCATGGAGAAATGCACAAACAGTTCTGTCTGCACAACAACTCTGCCGTAGGGCCGAATGGAAATGGCGTAAAACTCAACTGTACGTTTATTATGACATCTATAAAGAAAGACTACCTATCTGTCACTCAACACTAAAACATGGGAAGCTTTCTTTGCAGATGTCATAAACAAAAACATTAACAACGCTCGAGCTCTATTTGCAATAGTTGACAGGCTCACAAACCCTCCTATGATGTTACCACCTGAATTTCAATCTAATGCCTGCAACAAGTTTTCCAGTTTCTTTTCAGAGAAAATTTAAAAAATCAGAAGATTAATCTGGACATCCACTCCAAAGCCAGTACCAATTGTAACCTGAGTTACATTTTAAGATTATAAAAAAACCCAAATCAACATCACTCCAAGTGAAAAACTAGGTTCCAGGTTCGTCTACTGGAGGTAGTGGCAAATTGCAAGACACATACAACTGGAGAGTGCAAAATCAATGAAGTGTATTTATATTTACAATATATACAAATTGTTTCACAGCTTTAAAGTCCAGTTCCTTAAACCAAGGAAGTCTCTGTCGGTGACGAAAGGGAAAAAACAAAAATAGTCATTTAGTT